CTGATATTGGTGGTGAATGGTGGCGACGGTGGCGACGGTGGCGATGGTGGTGGTGGTTCCCAAAAAATGTATGAAATTTTACTGCCTGCCAACGTCAAAACGAACCTCAGGCTCGCTGCCACAGCCTCTGTGGCTGCAGCAGAATCTGTGGCTGCCTCCTCTGCTGCGCTGCCGAGGTTGTTGTTGTTGTTGTTGTGGAGTGCCTCCGAACGAGCGCGTGGAATGTTGCCATATGCCGTCATATGTATGTACATCTACTCTCCACTTAGATTCTACATAGATGTGCGGAACGGTGTGTGTTGTTTGCGTACGTACTACGTTTGGTACAGTCGCCTGGCAGCAGCGGCAGCGGCAGCGGCTGCGACTGCGACGCGGACAGCAGCAGAAGCAGCGGCAGCGGCAGCAGCAGCGGCAGCAGCAGCGGCAGCGACAGCAATAATGTCCGTCCGATCTGCTCAGACGAACAGACTTTTGACTGTGCGACGGGGTAACCACTTTTTTGTGCCTCACGATACTCAGGCTTGCTGTTGTTGTTGTTGCTGTTGATGTTGCTCTTCTTTGATTGCAAAAAAACAGGGTGCCCTCAAGGATTTTAAACGATTAGGATTGGAGTTTTTGAGCTGATGAAAACTGAAAACTTTCCAGAAGGAAACTTCTTAGCAAGTCCATCTTTTGATGGCCACAATGATGTGCTGAAGATCCACATATCGCACCACTATAGAAATCTGATATTTCTGTTGCTTAAAGATTAGATACGTACCTTGCGGCACCCTGTACCTGGCCATATTTAAGTTTAACAAGTGTGTAAGCACATAAACATAGAAATGGAATTAAGTTTGCATAGCAAAAGAAAATAAACTGCTAAAATTATAATAACACGTCGGGGAGGCGGCAGCGGGGGCACGGGTGCGGGCTTTAAAATTGAAACTAGTGTAAAGCAAAAAAGAGACCAAATTACACACACCTACACGGCACACAACGGAGGGGACGGAGCGATGGAGCGACGGAGCGACAGGCGAACATTGACAGTGACAGGGGACGACCAGGCGAGCAGACCGAAGGAGCCAAAAGGCAGGTGGGGGGAAGCGAGAGGGGAGAGGGGAACATGGTATGTAATTTATAATATCCTTTGTCCTCTGCCGGCTTTTGTGCTCTGTGAAAAGTGAAAATGTATCTCTTTGTGTGTGTGAGCGTGTACCACACATACATGCGCGCGGGCTGAGAGCCGTGTGGTGTGTGTGTGTGTCCTCACAGATACAGTCACTTTGGTTCGCACTGGCGGAGATAGAACTGCTTTGGTCCACAACAGAACACCGATATAGCTACAAATTCGTTGCTCCACACAAAAACACTGTCACTGCCACAAACACGGCTGCAAATTCTTTGGTTCACAGTTGCAGATACACAGATACAGATACAGGCTCACTAGTGCCCCAGCGCTTTTTACTTTTAGCGTGGATTTTTCCCCGTTTCGCCGTTTCGCCGTTTGTGCCGGGCAAATAGTTAAAACTAAAATAAATTTAGTTGTTGTGAGCGACACACACACACACACTCACAGACACGAATACAGTCGTACACAGACAAGGGGGACCAGTAGAGAGACAGACAAAAGATAGCAGCGACGCCATCTTTGCTTTGCTCTCGCGCTGATAAGTATGCTACGCTTGTTTGGAGGCTCCTAGCCCCCGCCCCCGCTCCCGCCCCCGCTCCCGCCCCCGCCACCGCCCACGCTCCTGCTTCCATTTCGACTGCCGTTGCACGAAATCTCATTATATTTGTTTTATTTTATTTGGTGCCACGTCTTCGTCGTTTGCAGCAGCTTCTTTGCTACTTTTGGTTCTCCTTCGCTTTTGGCTTTTATGTCTATTTCCTATGCTTTTGTGGCGGAGGGGGGGGGGGGGGGGGGGGGAGTACTTTGGTGTGCACGTAACTAACTTCTGGCCATGCCCAGGACACTTGCAGGTCCTTGGCAGTGTCCCTGGCTCACATTGTCATCTACTTACTTACTACTTAATGCGTGCTTAGTTATTGTTTTAGTGTGGCCTTTTGTCTCAAAATTATTAACAATGGACGTTGCCTGACAACCGCCCGCCTTCCGCAATCCGCCGACTCGGGTGGAGCTGGCTTTCGATGGGTCTGGCTCTGGACTGCTTCCACTCGGGGCTTCCAGGAGAAAGACCCACGGTAATAGCATTTAATGCACCTGCACACACACACACACACTTGCAGTTAAGTTGCTTTGTTCCCCGCACTGGCATTGTCTGCCACACGCACACACTTGAGAGACGCCATCATCATCAACATCATCATCGCCATCGTGGGGCTGGTGCTGGTGCTGGTGGCGGCCATCGTTATCATGATTGTAAGCGGCTTTATAAATGCTTCATTTTACGTGTGTTTGTTCATTATTTATTTACCTTTAGTAGCGCTTAATTTTCACTCACTGCCGTCGCACTCTTCTGCCGCTGCACACCTGTTTCGCTCCCCTTACGTCCCCCTGCCATCCGTGAGCCTTTAGTTAAATTGCCAAATGTAAAGCTAATGATCTAATTTCATATTTATATCCCGGCTATTTTCATTATAATGATGCTGCATTAAAATATTGTATTTTACATTGAAACTTTCAATATTTAATTCCCGTTTTATGGTCTTGAATATTGAATGATTCCAGGGGGGCGACCTTTAGCTGTAGATTTAAACTGTGTTTTGATGCTTTCCACATTAAAGATGCCAACAACCAGGTAGCATTTGAAATTCTGGGATTGTTACAAGTTTAGAAGTGAAACAACATTGAATTCAACGACAAAATCAATTAGTACAATTTCGAGAATAAAACCCACGGAAATTACATTTAATAACAAACACTTCCGGCACCTATTAGTTCGTATAAAGCAGTCGTTTGTCCTGTGATCCTGTGAGTGGCCATGGAGAGCCGATTGGTGGGCGGCAAGTACCGGGCGATCGAGCGAATCGGTGGGGGAGCCTTTGGCGAGGTATACAGTGGCATTTGCGTGGAGGACAACACCGAGGTGGCCATCAAGATTGAGCCACACGATTCGAAGAGCCAGCAGCTGGCGAACGAGGCCAAAGTGTGCCAGAAGTTGGGCGACAGTCGAGGGTTTCCCACCTTCTTTTACTACGGCAGCGAGCAGAACTTCAAGGTCATGGTGGTAGAGCTCCTGGGGCCATCGCTGTACGATCTCTACCTCAAGTGCAGCCGCCACTTTTCCCTGAAGACCATCCTGATGCTCGCCAGCCAGATGATGGCACGGCTGGAGGCCATCCACGCCATCGGATACATCCATCGCGACGTCAAGCCGGAGAACTTCCTGATGGGACGGGGCGACAAGTGCAACAAGGTGTTTCTGATCGACTTTGGAATGTCGCATCCTTACAGGGATTTCGCCACGAACAAGCATATCAACTATTCCCCGACGTGCTCTATATTTGGCACCTTGCGCTTTTTATCCGTCCGTGCCCAGAACGGCAACGAGCAGTCGCGTCGCGATGACCTGGAGTCCCTCATGTACTGCCTGATATACTTCTATAAGGGCCTGCCGTGGATCGGGCTCTCCGCCGCCAGCGACAAGCAGAAGACTGAGATGGTCGCAGAGATGAAGAGGAGCACGAAGATCGACGATCTGTGCGGCGGGTTTCCACCCATGATCGCCATGCTCATGAAGTACATCCGCAACCTGCGCTTCGAGGACGAACCCGACTACGTGTACATGCGCATGATGCTCCGCGTCCTCTCTCTGGATCTGGCCCACGTGTACGACCTCAGATTCGATTGGACCCAGCTGGAGGAGCAGCAAAACAGAGACCATGAGTCAACGGAACCAGAATCCACGGTACAGTCTTCCTCTGTCTACAGGTCTTGCCTCAACAGCCCAGATGTAGGGGTTTGACTATTGAACGCAGGGTTTGAATCGATTCCGGAACATTAAACACAGATTACGATTCAACTTTGTTTTGTTTTGAGAGAAGAAGTTTTCAAGGACACATTCCCGTTTGTCTTAGGGCTAGCAATGGGTTTCCACACAATAAAATTCCATACAACTAAAAAATTAGTGTACTATCGGAAGCGCTGTGAGGCGCGGCAAGGGCCGCGGCTCGACCCGGCCAGTGTATAAGTGATTTAAGTAACATATAACATATATATTTTATACCTAAATTTCCAGGAGCACGCTCTATCTCTCTCTCTCTCTATGCGGAGGGGGACCTCTCGCCGATGTCTTTGAATTCTGCTCGCAGGTCTCATGAGAGATGGGAAAAAATGGAGAGAGCAAGAGTGGAACCACCACCACTAGTTATGCTCCAATGTTAGTTGTTGCACTCCGTTTATACTCTTTCCTGTTTTCCTCTACTGCCGCTACATCTGTCCCTCTCTCTTTCTCTCCCTTCTCACAGCAGCAGCAGACATTATTACTCGCTCTCCTCCGCCAGAGGGCGAACACTGCACGAGGAAGAGTGTGTGGGAGTGATGGAGAGGGAGAGTAAGCACATGGAAGGAGAGTAGCCACTGCAATTTCTTTTGTTTCGATCTGATCCAGCAAAGATTCAGCATTCTTCTCGATAATGTAATTTTCTATGATTCCCCGTTTGGATGCCATAATTATTCATTCTTTGGGGTGGTGGAAGGAGTCGGGGCGAAGTGCTGCTGTACACTTGTAACAGCGTGGTATCACAGGAGTCTACACCCAAAATTTGGTTCTAAGAAGACATAGTTATATCGATACATGATGATTTAGATGAAGTGGGGCCTTTGTGGGGCCCGGAAACGCTTCCTTTTGGAGTGAGACTTTTAGGCCTTTCATTGGAAATATCCCCAAGAAATGTCTCTCCTCTCCAATAGTGTGGCTAGACTCCTACTAGCCCAGTATACTACTTCTTTGATTACGAATATAGTGACCAGAGCTCCCCCACTCACAAGTTGATGCCCAAAAAAAACAAAAATAGAGCAAAGCTTGACAGCCAGAGCCATGTGTTAAATGTCAAAATCCGTACAAGTACAAAATTATTTCCAAATAAAAAAGGCCAGAGCTCAGTAGATTGCAATTCAGTCGGCGAGCGAGCTGTGGCTAAAGAAAAAAAGAATTCAGACGAAACCGAGATGAAGTCTCAGACACAAGCACCGATGGAGGACAGCACTCCCTCTGGACGCAACCGAAAGCCGTCGCTGCACTTGGACAACCAGCTGGTCGGCGGCAAGTACCGGGTGGTGAAGCGCATCGGGTCGGGCTCCTTTGGCGACATCTACCTGGGGGTCTGCTTGAAGGACGCCTCCGAGGTGGCCATCAAGGTGGAGAGAAACGAGGCCAAGTATCCGCAGCTGGCGTACGAGGCGAAGGTGTACCAGAAGCTGGCCAAGAACCCGGGGTTTCCCACCCTCAAGCACTTCGGCTGCGAGCAGCACTTCAAGGCCATGGTGATCGAGCTGCTGGGACCCTCGCTGGAGGAGCTATTTTCCTCGTGCAAGCGCCGCTTCTCACTGAAGACGGTGCTGATGGTCGCCGATCAGCTGCTGTCCCGTCTGGAGAACCTCCACTCCATCGGATTCATCCACCGCGACATCAAGCCGGACAACTTCCTGATGGGCACGGGCAAGCAGGCCCACAAGCTGTTCCTCATCGACTTTGGTCTGTCCAAGCGATACCTGGACGCCGAGTCGCTCCTGCACATACCCTTCCGCAAGGATCGCAACTTGACGGGCACCGTGCGCTACGCGTCCGTCAACGCCCAGAAGGGGATCGAGCAGTCGCGGCGCGACGATCTGGAGTCGATGTGCCACTGCCTGATGTACTTCAATCTGGGCAAGCTGCCGTGGCAGGGCATCACCGCCGCCAACAAGAAGCAGAAGTACGAGATGATTCTGGAGAAGAAGAGCGGCACCAAGATCGAGGAGCTCTGCAAGGCGTTCCCCTCCGAGTTCGCCGTGTTCATGAAGTACGTCCGCAGCATGCGCTTCAACGAGGATCCCGACTACAACTACATGCGACAGCTGTTCCGCCTCCTATCGCGCTCCCTGAACTACCAGTACGACAACGTGTTCGACTGGTCGCTGCTGAAGCAGCAGAAGCTGGAGCGGCAGCGCGAGCGCGACCAGGAGCGGGCACGCGGGATCACCGGGGCGCGTCTGTCGCAGGCCAAGAAGGGCGACCACTTGCCGCTTGGCTCCGGGCGCAAGTTCAGCCACTGTGCCGTGGGCGATCGCTCGACAACCTGCATCAGAAAGTGATTGTGGGCGGGGACGCCAGACACTGCCTTCCCAGACACTCTCAAAATTAGTTCTTACGTAGATACAGTATTTTCATTTAAAAGTTCAATTGTTCGGGACCCTTGACACGAGTGTTGGAGGAGCTTGAGGCTGGCAATCGGTGGACACTTGATTCAACTGTGTTTTCTTATTTATATTCCGCATTAAAGCTAATCGAAGTAGGCTGCAGTTGTCGTTGAAAGTTGAAAGTTGAAAGGGAAACCATCTGAATATTGGATGGTAAGTATTCATGCTGCTCCCCGCTCCATGGGGAACACCTCTCTGGGTTTTCCATTAAGATGAAAGTCCCCCTGGGTTTTCCGTGGAAAGGGAACTTAATAAACTGTCAAATTGTCATGTAAACGGGACAGGGCTGCCAACCCAACCGAAAGTTTTCCACCTCGAAAGGAAGTCGCCGGACTGGCCCGGAGGCCAGAGTGCCGGGTTTATTTACGCTACTTATTTATTGAGTAGCGAGCAGCGGACAGGATAGTGGAGTGCAACCACAACATTCCCGAGCTATGGGAACACCAACTATGGTGGTTTCACAGTGGAAACCCCACCCCACAAAAGTTCCCACTGCACACGCCGAAACCCGGCAAAATGCAGTTCTGCCAACCGCAAAGACCATTTTATTAGTTCCTCTAGCGCGGCTTCCATTTTTGTGGCAGCGGAAATAAGTGGAAAAGTTGGGTACACTTTACCTCTCATTTTTCCATTTCTATATTTATTTGATGTACTCAGTTCTGTTACTGCTACAAAGGCTTGTCTTAAAGACGGGGTGGCGACACGGCACCTGCCGCCAAATTAAATTCCCAGAGGACCATAGCAAAACGGGAGAAAAACTACATGGCCATGGCTAGGGTTATGGCTCTGACTCTGGCTATGACAGACTGGAAACTTCAATAATTTATGATGCAGCAGCGGAGGAAGCGACGGAATCATTTTGCCATTCGGAGTAATTTTTCTTCTTTCTCTCTGATTCTCTCTGTTGCAGAGGGAAAACTTTTCCCGGCAAACAGAAAACATAATTAAGTGTTGTCTTGAGTTGGGTGCATAGTTGACATGACAAACAGTTGATGAACAACAGAGCAACAGAACGCGAGAGAAAGGAGAAAGGGCACTGGAAAAACGGGAAAAATTGCAAATTCCATTGGGGAAAATCGCACTAGAATTGTGGCTAATAAAGCGGCTTGACGAGTGGCAAGTGCAAAACAAAATGCCAGACAACTGTGAGAGGTCCTGCCTGTCCTGCGCTGTCTGGGCCGCTCCTCGTCTTGGCGGCGACACCTTTCGCGGGCCCTGACAATGACAGCTGCTATGTGAGCGTATGATGAATCGCTCCACTGACAGCCGACTTGAATGGTATGGTAATTTTGATGGAAACACCTTCCTCCCTGCCACCTGCCACCTGCCACCTGCCACCTGCCACCCGCTGACACCTGTGTCCTGAATGGGCGAACGGGTACAGTCCCGTTCAGTAATGTAATTGCACATTTCGTTTCGTTTCGTTTCGTTGTGTGAATGCAAAAGGGAGGTGTTTATTTAATTGGCCGAATGAATGGTGACTACGTGTATGCCATTTGCTTATTCAAAGTTTGTCCAATTGGATGTGACAATTTCCAGTACTTGCCTTCCCCTCCCTTCTTCCCTTTCCATCCCTTTCCAAATGGAAAATAGTTAGCCATGACTAAAATAAGTGAGTGGAAGGTGCAGAATACAAATGGAAATGGACTCAAATCGAAACTTGCGAAAGGGCTGCGAATGTGAAATGTGAAATGTGAGCAGAATGCAATGACATTGAAGAAGCAGACGAAAACGTAATTTAAACTTTTCCATGCCCCACACAAAAGGCACAAGGAGAGTGGAGAGTACAGAGAGACCTTAAATAAGAAACGTGAAGAAATGTATTCCACAAGGTAAATGGGAAATATGGGAATCGTATAGGAAAGTCGCATATCTTTACGCTCTTCTTGTCGATCGCTGAATCAATCGCATATCTAACTTATCTTCACTGTAAAGCTCTCAGCGGGGCCCCACATGGTAGATGCAGTGGGTAGTGGCTGAGTTTCTCATTGCTGTCCTTGCGCATGATTTTCGAGGTTCTAAGGGAGACAGGCACGTACTCGGCTCTCGTATTCGCCAGCCCGACGCCTTCCTTAGCTAGTACGTCCGCCGTCTCGTTTCCTTCGATGCCCTGGTGGCTGGGAACCCAGTAGATCCGCACTGACTCTGTCGTGCTTAGGGTATCTAGTGCCTCCCTGCTCGCCAAGACACTTCTGGAACTGACCCCGGACGACTGCAAGGATCTTATCGCCGAGAGAAGCGACCTCCGCTGCTTTCCTGATGGCAAAAAGCTTATATGACAGCCTTATCTCAGGGTCTGTACAGTATAGGCCCGCTCCTACACCTCCGTCCTCCCTCCATCTTGGATCCGTCCGTATATATATGGAGGTGCTCAGTGCTCAGCTGTAAAGTATCGCATAAGACTTAATGGTTATGTGTTAATATCGGGGATCGATCAGGGTATCGGTAAAGGTACTACGGGTACTCCTAAGGCGTTGCCCTACATAGTATAATCGAAAGACGATAGCACGCCCCGTAAAATACTTAGTTAAGTGGATGGAGCAGACATTTGTATGGGTATCGCAGCGGAAGTACCTCTCAAGGGCACAGAATGGACCGCATGGCTGTGTTTTTTAGTGCAATATTTCACATTTCGCGAATGGATTATAGATTGATTTTTTCAATAAATATAAAACAAGTCCATTCGCGCAGGAGATTTATGAAAGAACAAAGCTCTTTTAAATTGATGGGTTCGTGTCGGATCCAAGCGGCGGCGAATAATGCTTTTTAAATGTGCAGAAATCCATTTTAATGAATTTCCGGATTAGATTCGCAGCGGCCATCCATTGTTGTGCCGTTCGGCCCGCTTAATTCCCTCGAAAGTGTTGAGCTGAAAAATTGCAAAACTAATCTATTCGACAACTTGCGGTGGAAACTACATACCTTCCTCGAACCGCATCCTCATCCTCATCCGCATCCGCATCTGAATCCGAATCCGAATCCGAATCCGTTCAGCGTTCGGGTAGACCATTAACATCAGCAGTGAACTAGTGGAAGTGCAGGAGGTGGTGGGGGGGGGGGTGGAAAAAGTTGTTGTGAAAGCTGGAAAACGTGAAACGCAATGAGATAATACACAACCAGAAGCACCGCAGAGTAGAGTGCCGGCAACTCTTAACTTCCAGCGGCAGCCTCAAAGTTTTCACTCAAATAATTGCTTTTACCTTGCACTAATAGATGGGGATTTCCACAGGCAACCCGGGCAGCACCCCTTTTATCTGCACAATAATCCTTTTGCCAGGACAAGTCGCAAGGTAGACGAAAAACCCTAAGAAGTAGCGCGAATTCTGTTAGTTTTTTGCTTGGCTCCCACAACAGAGGAGCTTCCTCTGCTCCCATGCTCCGCTGCTCCCCTGCTCCTCTGCTCCACTCCTTCTTTGTGCCATTTTCGGTTTCACATGCAGCCCGAATTATTTATCAAGTGCTTTCTCCGAGAAGAAGAAAGTAATTACGTGCAATGTGGCGTATGCGCAATGTTCAATGCCATTTTCCGAAAAGACATGGCAGAGACATGAAAATTAATTAGTTTACCAACAGCAGCGATTGCCTTTGTCCTGGTCCCGGCTTTTGTGTGTGCGGAGCTCTGTTCGAGGAATCGATTTTCGAGCACAGGTGCTCGGCGGCTCGGGCGTAGACCTTAAGCAGATTTCACTGTCTGTTGGTCGAAAAGTGTACGGAATGAAAATGAAAAGCCCATCAAAGTGGCCGCAAAGCAGAGCGGGGAAAGGGAGAAAGGTGGAAAGGGATGCCGAAAATAATGCCTCATGCTGTCTAAACAAAAGGCAGAGCAGGCTTTGGGCCATGGGATAGACACACAGGAATCGAATGTCATTAAAAGGCGACTGGCGGATGGACGGCCACAATGGGGGGGCTCGAAGCATCATGTTGAGAGCTCATTAAAACGAATACGAATTTAATGGTACTTAAAGCGGAAATTGCCTGGCAAGTTTCCGCCGTGGTAAGCACACAAGCGGCAGCAGCATCACTCATAGACACTCAGGCTGAGTGAGAGACAGTGGGAGAAAGGTGGAGAGCACAAGAGCACAAGAGAGAACTAACTCTGGAGAAGCCAAGCAGCCAAGCAGCCACGCCAGCCCAAGTCAAGCCAGTAGCCAACTTAGATCGAAGTGCCTGGACCAAAGCAGAGGCACAAGAAAGCTTTTACGAGCTGAAAAACTATTAGTGGCAGCAACAGCAACAGCAACAACTAGACCCACAATAGAGGCAACACTCTGGCAACAAATCCAGACAACAAACACACCCACCTGGAACACCTGAAAGCCGAGCACCCTGCTCACCTACGAGTGGGCGGCTATCGTTTTATTCCTCCCCGCTCTGTCAGGGTTTTCCTTTTTCTATGCAACGCTTTTTGTGTGCTAAATGAAGCCATCGCACACACGAACAAAGCCGGTCGGTGACTGCAGGGAAAAACAAAACAAAATTCAGAGGAAAACCTAAGTAAACAGATTCCTGGCGATGGCAATGAAGCCGGGATGCCCTCACAGGTCTGAACTTTGTGCAAATACAAACAGGTTAATTAAACTAATTTGTGAGAAGCAGAGGATCTCCACAGCTCACTCATAGCAAGAAAATTCAGCAAAAATTCAGAAAAGTTGTGTAGACATCCTGCAGCTGGGAGTTTTTATTAGGCTTATACTTTCCCATGGATATTTTTCCTTACTTACCCGAAAGAGTGTGCCGATAACAATATAAAAAGGGAAATTTTCCAGCAATGCTGACCGTGCAAAAGCGCCGAGCGCCGAGCACCGAGCACCGAGCACCGAGCACCGAGCACCGAGCAGCAACAGTGTGAAAAACGGCGACGCCATTTTGAGACTCACAAAAGTATGCATTAATTGAATGTTTGTTAGCCTGCCACAGGAGCATCCGCAGCGGTGGTACAGTAACGCCGGTCTGGCCCGGTCTGCCCTCCCCCTGCCTCTGCCCTCTGCTCCGCACACAAAAACCATATGCACAGGGCATATGCAGGCAACAAAATGTTTCAGCATTCGCCGTACATAGTCGTACTCCCACTTGTAGATGGCACCCATAATGGCAATACCATT